AAGAGCGTCTCACCAACATACACACCTGTGTAGGCAGCACGTGGGTCATTGTAACTTGCATCCCTCAGGACAGTGTCTTTTTCACAGCCCACAGGAATGTAAAGTAGACGGACTTAAATAGTAGCCTAGGCCTGCCTTTAGGGAACAGCCTCAGAGGGGTAGCCGAGTTAGTCTGTAACGGGAAAAACTTGCAAAACAATGATAATGCTGTGTTGTGTTGCCATTACAAAATAATGGAATGTGTGTGTTTGTGGTGCTCCTGTGAAAGGTGTAGCACAAGCAGCTGTAAAGCTCCAGGCAAGCTTCGGCACAGCTTGGAGGGTCACTCTCCATGTGAATGCGGTTCCAAAGGGTAGTAATGAAGATGCCTGCTGGGATGGAATGGAAGGGCTTGGATTTTAATTGTGTGGTGCTAGCCCTTGTCCATGAAGAGCACTGTTAAGATTAATCTAGTGACTTTGTGCTGGTTGCTGAGGGAAGGAACGGAGAGAGAATATGGGTGAGAGAAATAGAATAACAGTCAGTCTTTACTAATCCGGGCTAAGTTGAAACCAGAAATCTGGGAATGAAAGGTTCTGCTCCCCCTACTCATTTGTTGAACTATAACAGGGATGGGCAATCCATTCTGGGCAAAGAGCCAAGGGTATGTCTACGCTTGCACCCTAGTTCAAACTAGGGATGCAAATGCAGGCATTCGAAATCGCTAATGAAGCGGGGATTTCATTAGCATGATCTCGCCGGCGCGCTAGTTTGAATCACAACTGATTCGAACCAGGAAGTGTACGCCAGGATGCGTTAGTTTGAACCAACCCCCTTGGTTCGAACTAACGTTACTCCTCATAGTTCGAACTAGAGTGCAAGTGTAGACATAGTTGTCAAGCAAAAAAAAAAAAAGACCGCCCCTTTTCCCCTTTAAACGGAGCCCCCGGTCGCGTTTGGTCGAGGAAAAAAAAAAGCTCTAAAAAAAAGGCTTTGCCCCTTTAAGAAAACACATTTAAATTAATTTTGAGGCTTTTTGGCCACAATAGGCTCCCACCACCTGCTGCCATCTTTATTTCTGCAGGTTTCATGGTCACGCTAGACGGGCTCCCCTGCCCAGGTCAGCACAGGGAGCCGGAAGGAGAGGGCCATTTTGGGGGGCGTGGGAGTGGCTTTCAAGCCACGGGGCGGGGGCTTCATGAGCCGCACCTGGGGAGGGGGAAGAGCTGCATGCAGCTCACGAGTCTCGGGTTGGCCACAGCTGAACTACAGAATCATAGAATCCCAGGGCTGGAAGAGACCTCAGGAGTCATCAAGACCAGCCCCCTGCCCAAGGCAGGACCAGTCCCAACTAAATCAACCCAGCCAGGGCTTTGTCAAGCTGAGACTTAAAAACCTCTAGGGATGGAGATTCCACCACCTCCCTAGGGAACCCATCCCAGTGCTTTACAACCCTCCTAGGGAAATAGTTTTTCCTAATATCCAACCTGGACCTCCCCCACTGTAACTTGAGACCATTGCTCCTTGTTCTGCATCCGTCACTACTGTGAACAGCCTCTCTCCATCCTCTTAGTTCAACCTTTCTGAAGAGAGGTTCCAATCTACTGGCCCGCCGACAGGGAGTGGCAATGGGCCAGTGGCCCCTGGGGCCCAGTGATTCAAAGGGGCCTGGTGCTCCCAGCTGCTGTGGCTGCTACCATGGCAACTGTCGTGGACCCTTTAAATTGCCACTAGAGCACTAAGCGTGGTCCGTTGGGGTCCCGTCCCTTCTGCCTGCAGCCAGGCCCCATCCCTTTCAGGAGCAGGGAGCCTCCCCATCTTGCCTAGGGGCCCACACAGGCTTTTGGCTCCTCTGTCCATCTAGTATTAATGTGATCAGACATCTTTATTTTAGGGGCTTTGTCTTGTATATACAACAATACACTGACCCGGAAAAGAAAAAAAAAATCTCAATTTTTCACACTCCCATATCAAGCGTCTAAAAAAATGTGATGGATGCCTCTTGCCGACAAGTGCCAAACACCAATTAATTGCATGAACAAAAGCTACAATCTAGTGCAATGAAATCTGCTGGAAGAGAGTGAGTAGGGCGGGTCAGTATTACCCATTTTCCATGTTTTGGGCCTTGTGAGACATTAAAAATGGATCACTGCTCTGTGGTGAGAAGCGGTTGTAATATTACTTCAGAGAATATCTGTTTCTTTGTTCACTAAAATCTCTGGCGTTCCATTAACGTCACACTTGCATGTACCACATTTGCAGTTCATTTGCGAATGCATATTGGTTGTTCCTTCTAATCTCCATCGCAGTACAAATCCCTTTCATGCTCTGTTTTCGACAACCAGTAACCTCTTGTTTTGTAGCTATTGTTCTTCCTCCCATTAAGTTAATACATTATTGAAATACATACACAAAAGCAGTGTCTCTTCCTCTCCCTCTGCGCCCCCAATGATGTAGGAAAGTGCAGCAGAAGAAGGGGGGATATTTTTATTCACCTTTCAAGTTTACTTTTAAGTTTCAAGTTTGGGAATTAGAGAACAGGAGCAGCTAACAAGGGAGTTTGGCGCGGGAGATCTCCAGGTGAAGGAGAAGCGATTACATGACCCATGTGGCAAGTGGTGGTCTGTAGTGTGTGTGTTGGTGTTAGGAGTGAACTTCCTGCATGATACTGTGTGCTAAGCTTGTTTGTGTGGAGGTCCATGTGCTAAGCTTGTTTGTTTGGTAGACCGTGTGTAGCAGGTCCGTGTGTAGCGGATCCGGCCTGCCAAGCCATTTGATCTGGCCTGCGGCCTAACCTGCCCAGACCCCAGGGCAGCCCGACACTGTTCAAAGTGGCTTTTGGCTTCCTTCTTTTCCCCTTCCCATGTGCGCAGGTCACTATATAACTCAGATCTTACCCAATAATGCAGTTGCCACTCCGTTAATATCTAAAGGATTTTTTTTATAAGAGAAGAGACTTAAAATGGTTAAGGAAATCAAATACATACAATCATTGCAGAGTTCTTGTGTCAGGCTGGAAGCAGTAACGGAATACACCGCTGGCTTGGAGTGTCTCTGGTAACTTCCAAAAGATTGGAAGCATTTCGGTCCATCGGTTAGAAACTTGGAATGCTCCTTTGAGTGGATGCAAAGAGTCCAGAGATCAGAACAAGAAAGAGACAAAAATGGAAATGCTTCTGGGGGTGGGTTATACCTTCTCCCAGAAAGCCTTAGATTGTGGAGAATTACAGGCACACGATAGAGTCCAGCATGTCATGAGCAAGTCGCATTGCCCTTTCCGTCTTTGATGGCTCATAGGATCAGCCCCATATTCTGACTAAATTGTCCACAGTAAGGCTCACTGGATGTCATCTACCACGTGAGTGTTACCCTGTTTGAAATGCGGACATGTAATCAATATTCAGTGTTAGACACAAAGATGATCCAGGCATACAAGCAGGATAATCGTGTTTGATAGACTGTAATGTTTCCATTGACACCATCTATGCCATAAATTGTACAATGTTTGCTGCGATGGTAGCTCAATGACATACATAATTGTAGTTCAATAACACAGGACCACTGTGACGTGTCCCGCGTGTCACTCCCACAAGCAGTTAATTAAATCCACATATTTCCCGCTGTGTGGCCTGTCTTTGTTTTCCGCACCCTTGGTATGAAGGGAGGGGAAGGGGGGCCCGGGTCTGCCCCCACTCACAGGCCCCAGCCCAGGGCCCTAAGGGCTAGGATCTAGAGAGACCCCGCCCTGCTGACGGGGTTCAAGACCGCAGCTCGCCTGCCCACCAGCCCATCCTGGCTCTGCCCTGGGCCGATACCTTCCCCGCCCTTCCTGGGGCTACCCCGCGGCCGAGGCCCCGGACGGTTTCCTCACTGCAAGCCCGTGGGCCGGAGGTGCGTTCGGTCCATTGGACAGGATGGTTCCTTGTCCGCGGACCTGTTTTTCATCCCTGTTGCTGGGACCTGTGGAGGGGGAGGCTCTCTTCCTCCTTCTTCCCCTCTCTAGTGCGGGAGCCATTTTAAAAGTCCCGCCAGGGCCGTGACCCCGTCTGCCCCCGGAGGTCCCTCCCCCCACATCCGCAGCGCTTGGCATTGCCGCGGCAACATTCCAGACGCCCCGGCAACTTCGCGCTGACGCTGGGCGTCGTGTTCCTTGGTCAGGCCGGGCTGCCGGCTGCAGAGCGCGTCCCGGACTGTCCCTCCCGTGCGGCCACACATACCCCATGCTGGGGACTATGCTGAGGGAGAACCAACACTAATCCAAGAAGGATCATGTTCAGCTGACTTCTCAAATGGATGGGAATGTGTGAAGCTGATTGGCTGGATGCAGAGAGGAGATTCATTTCTTTGTGAGAAGTGGGATTCCGCTTGTTTGTCCTAGACACTGGGTTGAGTTCTAGGGGTGGGTATCGGCTGGGTGGGCAGAAGACTTAAGGCAAAAATTCCATAGACTATATCAGTAAGGATACAGTGGTGTAGAGAAGGAGCGGTGGGAGAGGGGGGCAGTTGCCCCTGGGCACCACACTAGGGGGGGCACCAATTTAGTCCCCCTCCACTCTCCTTGTCACCCTTTGGCTCACCTGCTCCTCCTCCGCCCACTGCCGCCTGGAGCCTCCTCCCCGCCTCACTGCCCCCAGCCTGACTCTCCTCCATCTCCACCGACGGGTTAGTGAGTGCACGGCCCGGCCCCAAACTGGAGGAGGCAGGGGAAGACATGGTACAACCCCCTCGCCCCTAAGGTCGGGCCCAGCCGTGTGCCAGGTTCGGAGCCCCGCCGCACGGTGGCGGCTCGGGGGAGGAGGGCGCAAATTATTCCTTTGCCCTCGGGCGCATAACACCCTCACCACACCTCTGTATCTAAGGATACAAGCAGAAGTAGACTTGAGAAAATGGGGCCCATGAGTAACAGCCCAGAGGTAGATTTGTAAATAGGAAAAGCAGGGTCAGTGGTGACACCAGGATTCGGCACAGTGAAGGCCAAGGAAGAATGAGATGGGAGTTGTGCATGAGGACTTTCTCAGTTGCACTTTTGTATTCTTGGACATCAAACCGGACGGAATCGAGACTTACTGCGTTTCTCTCAAAACGAACGTGCTTTTCCTCACAGTGATCCAAATAGACTCTCTAGGAAACGCAGGCAGCTGATTTTAAACCACATAAGAACATAAGAATGGCCATACTAGGTCAGACCTAAGGTCCATCTAGCCCAGTAGCCTGTCTGCCAACAGTGGTCAGCACCAAGTGCCCCAGAGGGGGTGGGCCAAAGACAATGATCAAGCGATTGGTCTCATGCCATCTGTCTCCAGCCTCTGACAAACAGAGGCCAGGGACACCATTTACCTAATAGCCTTTTATGGACCTAACCTCCATGAATTTATCTAGCTTCTCTTTAAATTCTGTTATAGTTCTAGCCTTCACAGCCACCTCCTGGCAAGGAGTTCCACAGGTTGACTATGCACTGTGTGAAGAAGAACTTTCGCTTATTTGTTTTAAACCTGCTACCCATTAATTTCATTTGGTGTCCTCTAGTCCTTAATGAACATGGACAAAATCCCTTTTTTTTTAAAGCTAAAATCAGTGGAAACTGGTAGATCTAAAATATTTTAAGATTGTCCTGCATGTAAGGCCTGACCCAAAGTTGGAGTCTTGGGCCTGGCATTTTTGCTCAGCCTCTTAATCTACTGCCATGTTTGTACAAAAATGCTAATTTTGTAATCCTTCATTTTAGTTCAGTCTAACCTTTCCCCCTCTGATTCTATGGTAGGATTTTAGGCACATAGTCTTCAGAGTACAGGGTACTGTCAAATTCCATGGCCTTTCGGGTTGTGCTTTATAGCCTATTTTACTCCATTTCAATGAAAAAGTCTTTTGAGGCTAAGAGATTGGTATTGTTTTAGGCATAATTTGTACTGACTGCTGAAGGATGAACTGTATTAAACAAATGATTTGTTTCTTTTCTTGCCATCAAAAATGCCCTCCAACTATTTTCCTGTGATAGTGTATTTCCCAGTTTCCCAAGATCTCTTCAGTGTGTGCCCATATGGTAAAATCTCTACCACTTCCATTTTTATTCCCTTCTTGTTTACATGCCATTTGTTCAGAATATCGGCCTTCAGGCTACATCCAGTTTTAATTTTTCTTTAATAACCCCATCAACATATTTCTCTTAACTACAACAGTAGACTTCAGCTGTCTGTTTTGTTTTTGTTGGCTTTTAATTCATTTACTGCCATCCGTTTTCTGGGAGAAAAAGATGCCTTGTTTGTAATCGCTCTAGCTGATATGTGGTTGAAGCACCGTGTATTCATTAAATAGCTGCTTGCACTTATCTGTTCAGTTATTGGGCAGTGAATCTGTTTAATGAGATCTTTATGCAGAGAGAGGATGCAATGGTTGTGTGCTTCAGGCATTCAGACGTTCAAGTTCCATTTCTGATTGTGCTACAGGCTTTCTGGATGGCCTTGGGCAAATCCCTTAGCCTCTCAGTTCACCCTGTCTTCCCAGTGCCTCATTTCACCCTCTGGGCAGGTAGAGATGATCAGGTCTATAGATGGGGGGAGAGGGGCAAAGGGAGTAGTTATCCTGGGATCCAGCAATTTACAGGACCCATTAAAATCACTCTTGGAGCTCCTTGTGGAATAGTCTGGGCCATGGGCAGCGCCGAGGGCTGGCTGGAGGAGGCTCTGCCCTTCCGTCTGAGGTACTGCTCCTTCTAGGAGCACAGAGCAGAGCTGCCTCTTCCCCCCGCTGCCCCCTCCCTGGCTATGTCTAGAGCGCACTCCTCTTCCGAAAAAGAGCGTCTAGACTACAAGCCGCTTTTTCAAAAGAGAGCCCCCAGGCAGTCTGGATTCTCTCTTTTGAAAAAGCACAGTTTGCATTCCACAGCGCCTTTTTTCGAAAGAGCACTTTCGAAAAAAGGCGTTCTTCTTCATAAAACGAGGTTTTCCGCGGTCAAAAAAATGGCTGCGTTCTTTCAATTTACTTTTGAAAGAATGCTGTTGCAGTCTGGACACAGCGAAAGTTTTTTGAAACCCCCTGTAGTCTAGACACACCCACACATTGGCCAGGACCCAGCGAAGTCTGTGAACCATTTTGACTCACCACAGGGATCCAGGCCAGACCATAAAGAAGTACCACGCCCAACCCCCATGATAAACAACACACTGCTCTTGAAGGGAAAATACGGTTGTGTCTTCAAAGAGTTCGCTACCAAAGTCACAATACGCTAGTGGTCACCAACCAGTCGATCAGGATCGACTGGTAGATCTCGGAGCCTCTGACAGGTGATCTTGACGGGTTTGGCCAAGAGGCTACCTAGTGCCAGCACTTCAGCTACCCCTCCCTGCGCTGCTGCTCATCTCCTCCCCTTAGCCTTGGAGCTGCCCCTCCCCCGGGGAACCTCCTGCTTTCTATGCACAGGAGGGAGAGGAGGATGCTGATGTCAAGGTGCCTTGTCTCCTACCCTGTATCCTATCTCCACAGAGCAGAGAGGAGGACTTTGGAGGGAATTTGCTGGCTGCCTTAGGGAGTGGTGCAGGGCCAAGGCAGGAGTGAGCCTGCCTTAGCCCCACTGCACCAACCACCCAGGAGCCACAAGCAGTTCTCAGCTGGAACTCACATCCCAAACTCCGACCCTAGTCATGAACCCCCTCCTGCACCCTAAGTCCCTGTCCCAGCCCCGAGCACCCTGCATCCAAACACCCCCCCAGACCCTGCACCTAGAACCCCCTCCTAGATCCCAACTGCCTGCCCCAAGCTCAGCTCAGAGCCCCTCTCACACTCCAGATCCCTTAATCCAAGACCAGAGCCTGCGCCCCAACCCGCTGCCCCTGTTGGTGAAAGTGAGTGAGGATGGGCAAGAGAGGGAGGATGGAGTGAGAAGGGGCAGGAAGGAGGCGGGGCCAGGGTATTTATATTTGAAGTAGATCTTGGATTGCATTTAAATTCAGAAAGTGATCTCGTGCTCAAAAAGGTTGGAGACCCCTGCAATACAGTGATGACAAAAAGTAACTTCAAGGAGCATCCTTGCCAAGACACTCCCCTCACACAGGAGAGCTCCTATGCGAATGATTTGTCTGTCTTAGGCATTCATTACCTGCAGATCTTTTGCCTAAATGAACCTTTACCTCCACTCATGTATCATCTCTTCTATTTCCCTTCTCTTTCTCGTCTGTTGATCCACGTCTCATCTCAGTTTCAGTGAGCATTTTGCGGCAGAGAATGTGTATTACTGTTTGTAAAGCACCATGTAAAATTATTGACCCAAGATAATGATTTCTTTTAATGCCAAGACTAAGCCCACTCTTTAGGCTGGCTGTACTTAGGGTTGTTTTGTACAAGCTATCCCAAATCCAAATCCATGCCACCAATTCCAGTATGGAGCCTTCAGCATCGGCAAAATCCACACCAAACTTTCCAGTGCGATCAGCCCATTAGCAGAGATCTGGTTTCACACAAATACTGCGAGCCTGTCACACACAGACACGCCTTGCCGGGGATATGCCATACAAAGGCCGCTTTTAAAAATAAAACCTCAGCAAGCGCTGCCTTTAAATGTTTCATGGCTGCTAAATTATTTCCATTGTCAGACTTAATAGGACTTGTATTGCTAATTGCCTTAAATGCATCTTAATTCCTCCTAATTTTTCTACATATTTTCATAGTGGGGCTAAAAAGGATCAAATTGAGCAATTATGTAAATTGCATTCAAGTAGTTTGCATAAAAAATTGGTCCCCCAGGAAAATAATTGTGTATTTTATCCACATACAGAGGTGGTCCTCGGAGCGTTGCTCTAAAGCCCCTCAGTGCTGTTTTCCCTATGTATTGCTGTTCCTAACCAGAATACAGTAACCTTAGTAATTCTGTAAGGCTGTGTCTACAGCAGTGTTATTTCGGAATCACGTTAGTGATTCCGAAAAAACGTAGTGCATGTCTACACAGCCAGCCCGTTATTTCAAAATCAATTTGAAATAACAAGCTTCTTACTCCGACTCCTGAAACCCTCATGGTATGAGGAGTAAGAGAAGTTGGAGGAAGAGTGCTTTATTTCAAAATAAGTGCTGTGTAGACGCTCGTAGCAACGCAATTAGCGTTGCTCAAGTCGCATTGCTTATTTTGAGTTGAGCCCTGCTGTGCAGATGTGCCCTAATAGAGTTAGAGTCATCCAGTGAATGTTGCAGCCAGTGGAATTGATGGCAAAACACAGAACTAGATCAGTCCCCAATAGCCTAGTTTGATGGGGATATATTATTACTCTAGGTGGGCCATTGGTGCCGGCGCTCCCATCCAGCATGCACTGATTTCACCCAAGGGGAGAAGAAGCAGCACTAAGAAACATGATACAGCAGATGGGACTTTTCAGAAATATCGTCAGGATGGATGCACCATGGTGATTCTGCCAGCCTGCTAATATTAAAGGTAAAACCGTGCGAGAGGAACGGGCAAATGGCTGCATCATTTGTCTGAATAAAATCCTCCCTTAGCTGAACAATTTCTTTAAAAAAAAATTACACAAATTAGCTTTCAAGATGCCCAAATCTGCGTTTTTGCACTGCGCATACATTCTATGATGACAGAAGATTTGACAGTGGAGAAAAGCTATCGCAAACTAAAAATCCTGCCCCGTTATGCCAAAGGTAGATTGTTAGTGACACTTATGTTAATATTTACTGAGTGGCCAGGAGAGAGGAAGCCCCAGTGGTTATGGCCAAGCCTGGGGCTCTGCAGACCAGGATTCAATTTCTTGCTCCATCAGATTCCCTTCGGGACCTTGAAAAAGTTACTACAATTCACTGAGATCAATAGGAGGTGCCTAAACACCTTGGTGCAGGTGCTAAATGAGGAAAGGAAGCAGTCTGGACTGATTATGAATGTCGATAAAACAAAGACAATGGTATTTGGAGATAACGAAATAGGAAGGAAGATCCGTGTAGATGGGCTCGAACTAGAGAACGCAGAGAAGTTCATGTATTTGGGGAGCAACATGATGTATGATCTAGACAGTAAGAAGGAAATAGCGACTAGAATAGCAAAATCAAGAGTGAGTTTGAAGGCGATTAGCTTAGGAACGAAGCTGAGCATCTTGAAAACGTGTATTTAGCAGCATGTTGCATGGATGTGAGACATGGGTGATAACGAAAGATCCGAAGAGAAGGATATTGGTGTTCGAGAGGAGTTGTTATAGAAAGGTCACCAATGAGGAATTATATAGGAAGATACAGCCGAAAGAGAACCTGCTGCAGAAGGTTATACAACAGAAGTTACAGCTATTCGGCCATATCTGCAAAATGAACGGTGAGAAGGAAAAAGGAAGGGGGACACTACTTACTTCATAACCACTGAAGGTGCTAACAGCTCTGTGAGTGGTATCCATCCTGTCTTAGTATCTATCTATTTACTTTGATCTGATTAGGTTTAAGTACCCATTCTCCAGATACTTAATGATGCCTTGTCTCACCCTCCCCTTCCGTTTTCCTTTTTTTCTTTTTCTCCCCCCTCTCCTTCCCCTCTCCTACTTATTTCGAGTTTTCATATTCCCTAGTCATAACTCCGGTCATCTGAAGAAGTGGGCTGTGCCCATGAAAGCTCACGATACCATCTACATGTTTTGTTAGTCTATAAAGTACTACCAAACTATTTGTTGTTTTTTTCTGTAACAGACTAACTCAGCTATCTCCTTGAAGCTTCAGGGGTTGCATGGGTTTATCTTACATTAGCTTAAAAACCAGCAAGTAGTCCTGCAGCACCTTTGAGACTAACAAAAAAATGTAGATGGTATCATGAGCTTTCATCTGAAGAAGTGGCTTGTGCTCACCAAAGCTCATGATACCAACAAAAAAATGTAGATGGTATCATGAGCTTTGGTGAGCACAAGCCACTTCTTCAGATGAAAGCTCATGATACCATCTACATTTTTTCGTTAGTCTCTAAAGTGAAACAGGACTACTTGCTGGTTTTTAAGTTTTTTCTGTCACAGACTAACACAGCTACCCCTCTTAAATGTTTTTACATTGGCTTTTGCAACATACAGTGCAACTTGTGTAGGCAAAGACAAACACTAACACTCAACACTTTCCCAAGTCTTTCCCTGGGCCAGAGAATATGAAAATGAACCAATAAAGGCCACCATCAAAGGAAAGTTTGCTATTATGTAATAGTCATACATAATGGCAAGAAATCTAGGGTAGTGTGGAAGGTTCCAACCCCCATATTGCCAGCCTTCCAACCCAAAGTCAGGTTGAGACCTACATTAACATTGGGAGGATTAAAGAGCCTTCTGTAAAGATACGGCTACACTGTTGCTTTTTTTTTATTATCCTTTTGTCAGAAAAGGCTTTTCTGACATTTGGCCCATCTAGACTGGGCCAAATATCAGGAAAAACCCTCTTTCAGAAGCCCCCTTATTCCTCATGGAACAAGGAATTCAGGGGCTTCCGAAAGAGCACATTTGCTCTTCCAGAAAAAAAACCAGAAGAGCAAACTCGTCCCTGGATGTGGAAGAGTTTTTCTGGGATACCTCCAGTATCCCAGAAAAACTCTTGTAGTCTAGCTGTACCCTAAGAATAGAGCTATTTTAATTTATTGTCCTGGCCAAATTCCAGTTCAGGTAACTAAATTCTTCCCAGAGAAAGAAAATACCATAGTTAAATTGGAAAAGATGGGAAGATATGTTTTGATATTTTTTTTAAGTTTGTTTTGGGGGTTTTTTTTTGCTTTGCTTTGTTTTGCTTTGTTTTTGCTCCCTGACCTTTCATGAATTGCAAAAGTAGACAAGGGTTTATTCACCTCCGAAATACTGCTCCTTTTCAAGAGCCTATCCTTGTTATACCCGAATATAGATGTACTTCTAATTGTTTTGTTGAATATCACTGAGAATGCAATCTGTCAAGTTACAGCCAATGTGCTGGAAAACAGAATTTTTCCTGGGGTCATTTGTATTTGACAATTTAACACGATACCTGTTAAAGCCATTTTGTTACATTCCAAGAACATGCTGTGCAGCAACTTTGGTGTTTATATACAAAAGCAGTGCGGAATGGATCCAGTGGGAGCAGACCAAGTCATATAAATGATTTAAGAGGGTCATTCTGCAGTTGCATAATGCTTTTAGCACCATTACCAGTTCCTTTTTGGCGTTGCTAAGGCTGAGAGTGGTGCTACTTCATCCTAAGCATCATGAAGCGGTTTATGCCTTCAGCATTTTAGATGGAACAGCATAGCAAAACATCTCTGAACCATAAGTGAATACACAACATTGTTTTCTGTCTAGAAATGTATGAAACCCATTCTGAAAAAAAAAGACTCACTGAAAAGCTGTGTTGCATTAGAAGCAGCTGAGATGATTGCTCTAAAAGCAAGTCTAGACTGTGATTAATTAAACCTTCATCAGGATGGCTCAGAGTGATGAACTGTCTACATTTAATGTGGGCAAAAATTGAAGTATAAATCAGAGGTTGACAACTGCTGGCGTGCAGCCCATCAGAGTCAGGGTACTCCAGTGGGCCACAAGATAGCGTCTTTACATTGAGTGTCCACAGCCATGGCCCTACAGCTCTCAGTGGCAGTGGTTTGCCACTCCTCAGAAAGGAAGCTGAAGGGGAGCAACTTGGGCATCGCTTCATAGGATTGGGGACCGAAACTTGACTCCCAAAGGTAAGTTGGTAGAGTTAGAACATAAGAATAGAACATAAGAACGGCCATATTGGGTCAGACCAAAGGTCCATCCAGCCCAGTATCCTGTCTACCGACAGTGGCCAATGCCAGGTGCCACAGAGGGAGTGAACCGAACAGGTAATGATCAAGCCATCTCTCTCCTGCCATCCTTCTCCACCCTCTGACAAACAGAGGCTAGGACACCATTCCGCACCCATCCTGGCTAATAGCCATTAATGGACTTAACCTCCATGCATTTATCTAGTTCACTTTTAAACCCTGTTATAGTCCTAGTCTTCACAACCTCCTCAGGCAAGGAGTTCCACAGGTTGACTGTGCGCTATGTGACAAAGAACTTCCTTTTATTTGTTTTAAACCTGCTGCCCATTAATTTCATTTGGTGCCCCCTAATTCTTATATTATGTGAACAAGTAAATAACTTTTACTTATTCACATTCTCCACACCACTCATGATTTTATAGACCTCTATCATATCCCTCCTTCGTCTCCTCTTTTCCAAGCTGAAAAGTCCCAGCCTCTTTAATGTCTCCTCATATGGGACCCATTCAAAACCCCTCATCATTTTAGTTGCCCTTCTCTGAAATGTTTTTAATGCCAGTCTATCTTTTTTGAGATGAGGCGACCACATCTGAACGCAGTATTCAAGATGTGGGCGTATCATGGATTTATATAAGGGCAATAAAATATTCTCCGTCTTATTCTCTACCCCTTTTTTAATGATTCCTAAAATCCTGTTTGCTCTTTTGACTGCCTCTGCACACTGTGTGGATGTCTTCAAAGTGATGCAAATTGCATATCTTATTTCCATCTTATTTCAACATAGTTTATTTTGTGATTTGGCGCTGACTACACAGCACCAAATTTCAAAATAACCCGCTATTCTGAAAAGTCCCTTACTCCTCGTGGAATAAGGTTTACAGGGACATCGGAATAGGGGGCGCGAAATAACGGGCTTGCTGCTAAGATGCAGGATAGCTGCATTGCATTGTAGATGTACCCTGATGGTCCCAGAGCCTGTTGCCCTCTAAACTCAGGATTCAAGCTGAAAAGGAATTTTCTGACTATGGTTTTGTCATAAAATGCCACTTAGTTAAACCCAAGGGAGAAGATGAGCTTTTGAAACTGTCAGTGTCCCTTTTAGAAAATTTCAAAAAAACAAGTTTTGATTTTATGGCCAAATGAATGATAGTTTATACAAAAAATGGTTAAATGTCCCAAGATTCTTGAAAACAAAAAGTTCTGACTACCCACACTGGATTGATTTATTGTATGATTAGCTTATGCAATTTTGAAAAGATTTTCATCCCAATTTGAGAGAGGAGGGTTTTGGTTTTTTTTAAATCAGAGTTGTTTTAAAAAAAATTAGAGACATGCAAACCATTTTCTAACCAACTCTACTCGGGATATTCCTGCTATTGCTTGCTTGCTTGATTCATTGAAATATTAAGAACCAGCCCCAGTTTAACATTCTGTGGTTGCCTCACATCAGAGCCGGCGTTCTTAGAGGTCTTTTTTAGGATGAGAACCCCCATGTGGTTGGGAAAGGCCTTATGGGTTTCTAATACCTTTGTTAGCAGAATTAACAAAGTGACAAACATTTCAACCCATTTGTAATGGGGTCGCACTCACCTCTCGCACACGCACTCCCCTGGCCAAGTGCATATGCCTGTGCTCTGTTTATGGAGGCGTTTCCGTGACTCAGCCCTCTGGTCCAGTCACACAGCCTGTTGGCAAAATAAAACAAA